CTATGCTTTCCACCTGTTGTCTATTCCATTTGCACAACAGCATGTGAAATTGATTGTCAATCAGTGTTGCTACCTAAGTGAGTTTGATTTCACAGATGTGTGATTGACTTGGAGTTACATTGTGTTGTTTAAGTGTTTCCTTTATTTATTTATTTTTAGCAGTATGTTTAAGCTGCACTTCTCAGGTTTCTCCCAAGATGTCCTCATCCTCTTGTGTTCATTCCCTATATTCATTTGAAACACCTGCAGCAATCATACTAACCAAATAGAAGGGGCTTTAAATGTCTTCCCAAAACTCATTACTTTTCAGGAGCCATTGATCTCCCTAGTTCCTATTACGTTACAATTGCTCTAATATATCAATCATTGAAGTAAGAGCATTTGAATAAAAGAATAGAGAGCAAATAATTGTACAGGACAAAGAAAATGAGAAATAGAAACCCATACAACACACTAACAAATGAAGAGGGGGAAAATAAAAAGGTATTAATACACAAATATACGTTTAAAGGATGATGTATGTGTAACTATTAGAATGAAAATACATTATGGAAGAGAGGATTTAAGATTGTTATGTAAATACAGAACCGGGTTTGCTAGAATACCATACCAAAAATACACCAGATTGAAGAGGAAAATATCTAAATGCAACCATGGAAAGAGGGCATGGAGAGAGGAGTAAAGGGAAAGATAGGAAGAGGAGAGAAGAAAAGAGAGGGAAAGAAGAAAGGGAAAAGAAGAGGAAGAAATGGAGGGGAAATAAGAGTTGGAGAGAGGGTAGGAAAGGGAAGAAGAGGGGAGGAGTGGGGGAGAGGAAGGGGAAGTAGAGAAGGGAAAGGAGAGGAGGGAAGAAGAAAGGAGAGAAGGAGAGAAGAAGGAGGAAAGGAAGGAGTAAGAAGTAGGGTTGTTGTGAAATAAGTTGGGTGGATGGGATGGTAGAAAAACAATCTTGATCATTTGTTAATTTTAGGGGAGAAAAATTGTTATAAATACTAAAAGATAACACCCATTATTAATAATAGTTATGAGATTGTATGTTTGTGAAAGTATGTATGAGAAATAAAAACAAAAACTTTAAAAAAATAAGAGCATTTCTCTTTTTCATTGTTTCTACATGCCTTACATGGGGTGTTCAGGGAGGGGTATCACCCCTGGTGTAGGGGCATGTCATGTCCTTTTAGGGCAGCTCATGGGGCAACTCATCCACCTTTGGTCCCCACCTGTCACTCAGCTCTCACTTGTGGCTCCTAGTAGTTGTAGCATGTGCAGCGGCCACACCCCGGACAACCACTTAGACAGGCTGGCCAAACCAGGTTGAGAGTAGCCGTTGGGTCATTGACTTTCAGTGAGATAGGAAATTGTCTATCCTGAGCGTGTGAAGACAGATTCCGGTGGATTGAGCGGATGAGGTGATGTGGTACGCTAGGAGCACGGCAAGACATGAAAGAAATCCTGGTCAACCACTGCATCCAGCCCATCTCCAACTGTCTCGACTCTTGTCCTGCTAATGGAGCAAGATGGAATCTGGGAAGAGAGAGTGAGACTGACTCTGCGCACCTCCCCCTCACTTTAATCCAATTCACGGGCAAGTCTTGACATCCCCTCAATTAGATGTCAAGGATCCTCTTCTAGCAGGATGGACAATCATCATCATCACGTGCCTTAGAATTACAAGGAAGGGATTCCAGAGGCTTGCAAAGTGCCATTCACAAAGCCAATATTATGTCCAATAATATAACATTATTACTACATTACTACATTACACTGTATTGCCACCTTATAATTAATTTGTTAAGAAACAAAAATGTGCTTTGCCTGAAATGGAAAATTCAATATACTCTTCCATCAATCACTAAACCTTCAATACCAGATTGAAAAAATAATTGATGATTCACTGCCCTTCAGTGGCATCCAAAAACTTGCTACCAGAGGGGCGGGGGAGACTCCACCCTGTCTAGCTGCAAGGTTCTCTCTGATCTGAAAGATGGTTGCAGCCACTCTGTCTCATTAGAAATATCCTACTGTGATATGAATTAGTGCAAATTGATCAAGAAACTGCAGTGCCATTGCTTCAATTGTATTACAGTTTCACAGGTGCCCTACCCTGCGCATGCGCACATGACCCCCTGCCTCCCCACCTCCATTTTTTGTATATGATGGCACGGTGGACCCGTTTTTCGCCCTCCCCAGGCTGCAAAGGCTTTCTAGGAGCCTGGGGAGGGCAAAAAAGGCCTACCCCGCCCCCCCGCCCCCACAGGCCAGAAAGAGCCTGATTTCTGACTTCCAGTTTGCGTGTTGGGCCGTTTTTCTCCCTCCGGAGGCTTTAGGGAAGCCTCCTGAAGCCTCCGGAGGGAGAAAAGCGACCCAGCGCACAAACCGGAAGTCCGTTTCTAAATGTCCGGTTTGTGTGTTGGGTTGTTTTTTGCCCTCCGGAGGCTTAGCCTCCGGTGGGAGAAAAACAGCCAAAAATGAAGGCCGAAATCAGCTGGCCAACACGTGCATGTGCACTGGAGCTGACAGGGCAATGCCTCACGTGTCCTAAGAAATGGCTCCATAGGTTCACCATCACGGCACTAAGGATCTATTATGGTTTCACCACTGAACAAACAGCAGAGTTAACATTCTAAGAAACCCAGCAATGCTGCCCATTGCAAATCATGGCTGGAGGTCATTAGGAACGCTCCCAACTTTTTAAGAGCATAAAGCACCCTTTCCAAGCTGTTTATTTCGCTTGTTAAGCTTTGCAAGAGTGTGAGGGAACTTTATAGTCTCACAAGGT